TCTCTCTCTCTCTCTCTCTCTCTCTCTCTCCCCCTCTCTCTCTCGTGATTGAGCTGTGGTTCTGTGTACTTATTATTATAGACCGAGATGCAGAATAAAAAGAGAATGAAGCGAGTAGTGGGAGAGCGCTACTGGTGTGGTTGGCTCCTTCAGTCCTGTCAAAAATCTATCGTCCTTATCTCTCCTTGTTCTTTTTGTTGTTGTTGTTGTTTTTCATTTTACTCTCAAGTATCATCTCTGATCACAGAAACAGATAGAGCAGGAAAAAGCCTTTTTACATGTCATTGAGAGCATTACAGATCTTGATCTTCACTGTTGAAAAGAAATTAAATTCTTAACTCTTGCTTTGTGGAAGTGCTAAAAAATCTGAAGTTACGTCTTTGTCTTGTGACAGGGACAGTATGCTGTCAATTTGGTGTTTCTACTGTTAGCTTTTTTCTCTGAATGGCCAATAAATATATTTTTAGAAAATTTGCATGGGTGGCAAATGCTGTACTATTGATGCAAAAAGTGATTGCGTTCTTTTATCATTAATGTGTTGTACTCGTAGTTATAATTTATAATTTTCTTTTCCTTCACAGATCATCGCGGAGGGTGCCAACGGCCCAACCACCATGGCTGCTGACCAGATTTTGTTGAAGAAGAACATACTCATTATCCCTGTGAGTACTGCATCTGTTCAAGAGTCCTCACTCCGGTCAATAGCCTCCTTATAGTTATGTAGATTTCTATAGATGTTCATACCTTTAAGTGCGGGGGTTCTTTCATATTCTGATTTATCAGTACAGTGTCTTGATTATCTTCTGCGTTTTAATAGATTTTTTTATCTTGCATTATGGTCCAGTAATTTTTATGAAATAGATGGTTCCCCAAACATTGTTCAGGTGTTATCATACTTTTCAAGGGCATTGCAACTGTTTTGATTTGTCACTGTATGGGAGCCTTTATGATTATTATGACAATCAGTCGACTCTCCCTCTTCACTCACCAAAATTGAGTCGATAGTGCCGTAAAACACCTACTCAATCAATCTACTCTGGGGGTGTCAGTAGTCCATCATTGTCTAGTGGTGTCGCTGGCCTAGTGGTTAGGCTACTGGACCCATAGTCGTGAGATTGCGGGTTCAGGGGTTCGAGTCTCAGCTCGGTCCGACGTTGTGTCCTTGGGTGAGGCACTTTATGAAGATTTCCCATTTGACTCGGTCCTTTCGGAGATGGACATTAAACTCGGAGGTCCCGCCTCTCAATGACCTAACTGTGTTGATAGGGGTGTTAAATCTGTACCATTTCAACATTTCCCTCCCCACTCTGTTTTTGTTTCCTACAAGACTACGGGATTGATGATGATGATAATGAGGATGAGTGTAGTCATTAGATCTAACCTTATTGTTTTTGTTCCTGATGAAGCCGGTGATTGGGCGAAATGTTGAACTTTTATAAAAATTTTCCTGGAAATTCTACAAGTCTCAATCCCTTTTTTATTCTCTGCTGTTTACAAGGATGATGAGGAATGTGTGACTGTTTCAGGATTTGTACATCAACGCCGGTGGTGTGACCGTGTCTTACTTTGAGTGGCTGAAGAATCTCAATCATGTCAGTTACGGACGTTTGACCTTCAAGTACGAGAGAGACTCCAACTATTACTTGCTCGGTATGTGTGTCTTGTTTATTATTGGTATTTGTTAGTGTAAATAAGCAAAAAAAATTTTGCCATATTTACTGAGAGTTTTATAAATGTATGTCTGTTTTTTTAATCAATTGATAGACAGGCCTGTGATATGACACCAGTTTTTGGCTTTTGCACGGACAAAATTGAGTCAGTAGTGCCATAAGAGATATCTATTCCACTGGATTTTCCTATACTCTACTCTGTGTGTGTTTATTATGTTGTGTGCGTAGGTGCACTGGTTGGCCATGGGTAACTTCTGTTGTTTCTCTTGTCCTTCTTGCTTTTTTTTCAAAGCATTAAATGACCGCTAGTGTGACGAAGAACTTCTTTTTACTCAAAGAAACCATCAAAATGCTGTTGGGTCCTGCTTTGTTACTGTCTTTCTGTGGTTCTTATTTTTCCCTTTTGCTTTTTCTCCACTGATCATGTCCGTTACTTTATCAGTTTGCTTCTCTTCTATCCATACAAACATATATCACATGTGGTTTCTGGGTGTCACTGGTAGGTCCTACTTCTTTTTTTTCCTCTGTCATTTTTGTCTGTTGCCTTATTTTTCTCAGTACTAAATATATGTGTTGCAAGTGCCTTAAAACTCTTACCAAAGATAATACTAAACAACTATCATTGTGTCTATGCGTTTATCATGTTTTATTTTTTCCTTCTCTCACAGAGAGTGTACAGAAGTCGTTAGAACGCAAGTTTGGCAAGAACGGTGGAGCTATCCCTATCATGCCCAGTGAAAGATTCGAAGAGAGAATCGCTGTAAGTTTTCAATGTTTCATTCTGAAATTCCAATGCAATGAAAATGGTTTCTTTTTATGGAGACGGTCTATTCAAACATGGATATTATAAAAGAGTTGCTGATTGGCAGTCTGACAAGCACCCTGGTTTTTGTCCAAAGTATTGCGTTGAAGAAAATTTTTCTCAGAGGGCAAGACTTGAGTAGACTATCTGAAGTCATTGCTAAGTTTAAGAAACTTATACATATCTGGAGCTCTTTCTGTCACATTGAGAGAAAGATGTTTCTCAAATTTATGGGTTATTGATTTCTTGGATTATTTCACTTACCTGTTCATCATCATCATCATCATCATCATCATCAAGTACCAGATCTGAAACAGACACCTGGAATCATGGTTCCACAATCATGTTTCTTCTTGGATGTTCTTAAAAAAAAACCCAAGGAAACAAACAAGCAAAGCCACTAATGTTCTTGTCTTTCTCCTTCACCCATATGTTCAAGTTAATGTAATAAGTTATTCTAGGACTACCCTCTGCCTCTTTTGCCATATCTCATGAGATCAAGATACTTAAATGAGATAGAAAGTTCAGTAATATTTGACGGTGCGTGTTTCAGGGTGCATCGGAGAAGGATATCGTGCACTCAGGTTTGGAGCAGACGATGGAGAGATCTGCCAGGGTGAGTCGTGTGTTTTGTCTCGGTGATCGGAAAATTGATGATGAGTTCCTTCCATAATGGAAGTTAATTTTAGTTTCCCAGACGGTAGTGGAACTCACATGGTGCATGGTTGGTGGATGCCATGCTTAGGTTAGGTCCAACTTCTTTTCCTCTTCTGTATTATGTCTGTATGCCTGTCTCCCTTTTTAGGGGGCTCTCGTGGCCTTGAGGTTAAGGTGTTGGCCTCTCATTCAAAGGTGCCGTATTCGAATCCGGGTAGCGACCAAAAAATTTTCTTCTCTAAAATTGTCTTCTTTCACCTCCTTTCCTGCTCTCTAGCAATATTCTGTCATCTGCTTTCGTCTCCTCTTTCTTCCGCCACCCCCTCACCTCCTTTGCCCCTTCCTCTGGGCTCCTGACTCTTTCTGCAGCCTTTCTACTGCTACTCCTTGACTCCTTACTGCTGTCTTTCTGCCACACCCCTGATCTTCTGGTAGGAAAGATCTACACCTGGCCTTCTCGGACAAGGGAAAAAAATCTCGGAGAGCCCGTGTGCAAGTTGCGCACGTTAAAGATCCCTTGGTGGTCTAAAATTGATAAGAGTAGGCTTCGGCCGCTACCCGCGCAAAATTCAAAATTTCCTACCTACTAAAAGTATTAGGTGTGTCCCGCGCACTCATATGACCTTATGCAGTTGCGAGCGCCGTAAAAACACTTACCAAAACAAAATGTCTCCCTTTTCTACTGCACAAAATTGTCGTCATTGTGTCGGTGTGCTTCTCTATACCCACACAAACTCAAACGCACATCTTCTGCATACAGTGGTGAAGAGTGTTACCGCTATACCACAGAGATACAAGTATGGTACTCTGAAAGAAGTTCATCCACCAAAACTAGACATGTACAGTCAAGAAAAACAACAATTTGCAGACAGAGCTGCTGAGTTTCCAATCATTGCAAATACTTGAAAGCATTCCAAATTTGTTTCCAAGAATTACAGTGGAAACCATATATAACAGGCCCGGTAATAACAGGGATCCGGTAATAACAGGGATGTTTAAAATCCCCGTTTTTTCCTACTCTTTGTCTCTATTAAAAGTTATCGGCAATAACAGGGCCTCATCGGAGCCCAACCGGTTATAGCAGGGACAAAAGCTCGTTAACAATGTGTAAAAAGTAACAGAGAGAGAGAGAGAGGGAGAGAGAGAGAGAGAGAGGGAGAGAGAGAGAGGACGACCGGTCGGCCTAGATCTGAGCCTACTTCTTTCATTATGGTCACCAATGATGTCAAGCGCAAGAGAAAATGCCTTTCAATTGACAAAAAATACGAAAAAAATCCAGACTGTTGACAAAAGCAAGATCCACTGGAAGAGATTTGTCGCCAGTTCGACATTCCACAAGGGTCGATTCCCACCATTATCAAGGATAGAGAGAAGATAGTGGCAGCATACTCCAATGAAAAGGTTGCTCTGGCTCGAAAGAAGATGAAACTACCAGATGCAGATGCTGTGGACCAAGCTCTTCTGATGTGGTTTAAGTTTAAGGACGCAAGGAGAAAGTTAGTGCCAAAACCCCTGTTCGTGGGTACTTGTGGCTAGGGAAACTACCCATGAATAAGTACAGCTAGATTAGTCCACAAATACTCACTTTCCTTGCATTTCGGTTTTAACAGGGATCGGATATAACAGGACTTTTTCTCTACTCCCTCCATCCCTGTTATATCAGGTTTCCACTGTATGAGACTTGCACTGTACAAATGCTATTCATTATTGTTGTTGTTATTATTATTATCTGTATTATCGTTATCATTGATATTATCATCATCTTCATCCTCATTATTATTATTAGTGTTGCTAGGCTGTTGTTGTTATTATTATCATTATTATTATTTTATTGGTATTATCATTATTATCATCATCATCATCGTTATTATTATTATTATTTTTATTAATATTATTATCATCATCATAACTGTTATCATTGATGTGTTTGTGTGTTTACAGAACATCATGAAGGCAGCCATGGAGTACAATCTGGGCTTGGACATGAGAACCGCCGCCTACATGTCGGCCATTGAGAAGATCTTTGACGTCTACCAGGAGGCCGGACTGACCTTCACGTAGTCGACGACACACTGCCGCACGCACTTTCCTACATCGGATCAGATCCAACATTTCTCTCGTTTCATGGCATATATATAGATGTATATGTGTTTGGGACTATATGTTTATGTAAAGTGTTGACAAAAGTGCACAAATGGGTGGGGGGGGGGAGGTATGTAGTTTGCTGCTGTTTAAGAAGGTTATGATTCCGGTTATGGTTATGGTAATTAATCTAGTTTTGGGAATGAATCTAGTTGTGATAATGACTCTAGTATGGTAATGATTTTAGTTATGGTAATGTATCTAATTATGGTAATGAATCTAGTTTTGGGAATGTGTGGTGGGAGACAGGAGGGCTAGATGGGTGTAGTGGGCTCTTCCTGTACTGGAATTTGAAAAAAAGAGAGAATTCTGTTGTCTTACGCAGAAGAACATGCTGCTCTCTCTTTTTTTTTTCTTTTTTTTTTTTTTTTTGGTGTCAGTTTGGGTTCCTTTATGGTGGATGTTGGGGTTTCTTTTGGGAAGTTTCTGTTGCTTTGTTTTGCAAATAGCCATGTACTATCTCGGTGCCGTTAGCATAAGATTTACCTACTGCTTGCTGGTTGACTGTATCTGTGTACAAAAAAACGTGCTTATTTATAACGTGACGGTGTGTACTAGCAGTGTTGTGGGTTGTGGCGACTGTCGTTAATCTCGGGGAATGTTTTAGTTCCTTGCGGTAATGGCAGTTTGCAGTTGCCTCGATGTTCCGAGATGGTTTGATGTAAATTTTGTAGGTCAAGCACGCCCCCCCCTTTTCTTCTTAAAGCGTAACCACCTTTGTAGATTAATGCACGAGAAGGAGGAAAGTGTAGCCAAAGTTTTGTTTTGTTTTGTGTGTGAACTTTTTTGAAAGTTTTTTGTTTTTTGTTGTTTTTGGCTTTTGAATGTGGAAGGTTTGAAAGGGTACTTTTGCCAACATTTCTGTGATTTTGTTTCTGGTAGTTTTGAAATGAATGACGGTTGTGTGACAGTGCTTGCTGGATACGGATGCCGGCCGGTGTGTAGCGTGTTGTTGCATGTGTAGCGTGTTGTTACATGTGTAGCGTGTTGTTGCTCTGTCTCATCAGAACATTGAATCCTCTCACTCTCACTCGATGATGTGCTGACAAATTTCTCTCCTCTCTCACTGACAAATTCTTTTCCTCTCTCACTGACAAATTCCTCTCCTCTCTCGACTCGCACTGAATAAAATTGTCTGTCTTTGTTTCATCTGTTACATCTCCACTCGAATCTTCTGTGTAGATATGTACGGGTAATGTGCAGTTTGTTGACCGAGAAACGACCGTGTGTGTGTAAAAGGCAAGCGCTAATGCTCTGAGCATTATAACAAGCAGTTTCATGACGCGCATTAGATAAGGATAAGAACATTGGAGAATGTGAAATGCACTGATTCTGTGCTGTTGTCTGTTGAGATTATTGAACCATTGATGATTCTATAAATATGTAGGCCTACTGTGTAACAATGATCGAATTTGAAAGATCATCGTCTCAGGGCACTTGATTGCAGGCACAAATTTAAGATATATATATTATTATAGTCTGCATTTTCCCCTTCATATACCTGGGACCACTGTAGAGTTTGTGTCTGGCGATCGTGTTGGGTGCTGCTATTGACGTTTGTGAGATCAAACCCAGCAGGTAAATTATGCCTCAGAAATACTGACTCTGTGTCACTGACTTCGTGACACTTATGTTGTGTCACCAACACTGTGTCCCTTAACAATGTGTCATCGACGCTGTGTTGAAAATGGGTTAGATCAAGTGAATTTAGTCATGATGTTGATTTAAAGGACCGTTCTCGTCCACATTTCGCAATCAATTACTCCCAAGTATTTTTAAATAAAGCAATCTTTACGCGATGCCTTTTTCCAGCACGGTTTTTTAAGGTTATTTTGTTATACACATATCTAATCTAATACTTTTCTGTAGCAGTCAGTGTGTGGCAGTTTTTGTGCAAGTGTCCTTGTGTGTGGGAGGAAGAGAAAGATTATACAGCATAACACGGATAGGTCGAATACAGATGTTGTTGATCCAGTGGGTCGAACACAAAAGACTAAAAAAAAATCATGCTTCCATCGAACTGTGCCTGTGGTCCCGTTTTTCTGTTCTTCGGTATCTTTGTAAGATACCCCCTCGAAATATGGATCCTTCGAACTAACAAGGCCGGTCCCGACTACTTCGAGCTATCCATGTAACACTGTATATTTAATTTTTTGTTGTTGTTGAAAAGGAGGATACAGAATCTGTAGCCTGATATTTTTTGTACTGTTTTCGTTTACAAAGTAATGTAAAACCAAAATGTTATTTCTGCTAGGGTCTCTTTAGTAGACTTGGATGCATACATATTAAATTTTCACTTACCACCCTGTATTTTGTTGGGGTTTTTTTTTTAATCTATTGCCATTTTAGTTTTTGTGTTGTACTGTATGTTTGTGACTGACGGGTGCTCTGGTGTAGTTTGATCCTTCTTTCCTGTCGAACATCTATCGTCCTGATCTCTCCTTTTTTTATGTTTGTTACTCTCGTAACACTTTAAATCTTCAGCCAACCCCCCAGGGCGGTGCTACTGACCGAGTGTCTTCAGGCCATTCTTAAAGTGGAGGGGGGGGGGGGGGGGACATTAACATCTCGAGTTCTTATGCACGGTAGAATTGTAATTGTAAATGGGCTGATTCATCAATGTCACGCTCATAACTGTGCCTGAAATGCATCAGGGAACTGCTGCTTATTCTTTCCTATTCCTTACTATCGTCATTTCCTCCACTTCTTTTGTATGTTTGTTACACTCTTGTGGCCCGCTATTTCCGGGGTGCCTTGATAGTCGAAGCAGACTTTGTGCTGTTGAAGCTAAACTAAAGAGGTGAGCAGAGTAAGTCTGATTCCCTGTAAAGACTTCTCCGTTGACACCCACCTCTTGGCGCTCATATGACCTTATGCAGTTGCGAGCGCCGTAAAACCCTCTACTATATATATATATATATATATATATATATATATATATATATTTTTATATATATATATACATATACATATATATAAAAACCTCTACTAAAACAAACAAAACCAAACCTACAGCACTTTTATGGCTGTGTTGAAGTGCTGTAAAACACTTACTAAAACGAAAGTTGTATATTGTAGAAATCCTGACAGCGACGGAATATTTTGTTCCCTAGAATATTTTTCACCTACTTTCCTGCTCTCTAACAATGTTCTGTCGTCTGCTTCCGTCTCCACTTTCTCTCCCCTTCCCTTTGCCCCCTCCTCTGGGCTTCTGACTCTTTCTGCAGCCTTTCTACTGCTACTCCTTGGCTCCTTCCAATTGTCTTTCAGCGCACCTGTCCTTTGGTAGGTAAGATCTAACGCCTAGATTTCTCGAATAGAGGCAAAAAATCTCGGAGGTCCCGTGTGCAAGATATACACGTTATAGATCCCTTGGTGGTCCTAAAATAGAGAAGAGTAGGCTTCGGCCGCCATCCGCGCAAAATTCAAAATTCCTACCATACAAAAACTATTGAATGTGTCCAGTGCGCTCACATGACATTATGTAGTTGCGAGCGCCGTAAAACACTTACCTAAGCAAAACAAAGTATAGAATTAGAAGTCTGTGCTATATGGTAAACCCCAAGAAAGGGTTTCCAAGAAACGAAAGCGTCGGATTTTGCCCATGCAGTATCTTCTTGCGATGGTTTCAAGTCACAGATAGTACTAACAGTAGCCTTTGAAACAAACAAATTTTGGATCATAAGATAAAAACATCATTTTTCGTTCAGTGACGTTGAAATGATGAAGTTTCACTTTTGCTACTGGATTTTCTCTTACAAATTTTATATTTTATTTTATCGCTGGGGCAAAGCAAAGTGAGTTGTCTCTCCTATTGCGACATTTAGAAGAACACTGAAAAACTGGAGTTCCAGATACATGATCTTTGCAAGTGAGAAGATAGACCTTTCCCTTTGCTCTAAAGTCCTCCACGGAATGATAATAATAGATAGTACGATAGCATTTGAATAGCGTGTATATATAATATATATATATATATATCCCCGCTCGACAGCAAGCTCTGTGCACATTACACTATATTATTATTATGACTATGACATAATGGCATACGAGCACGGAGATGACAGGCTTCAGATGGCAAGGAAAATGGAGAAAAGACTTCACTCAGTTGAAAAATGGTGCGACCAAAATGAAGCAGTTATCAATCCTTCAAAGGCACGGGTACTTTGGTGTTCCCTCGACAACAGGATTGTCCAAGACATAACTCCACCAATCACTTGCAACTATGAGATTATCGTCAGACAGTCAGAGCTGAAGTATCTGGGAATCGTCTTCCACAGGTCGTTGTCCTTCAACAAGCATGTGAATCATGTGGTAACAAAGGCCAAACGAGGTGTTGGTGCAATCAAGACTATGGTGGCCGCTCTGATTCCGCAAAGAGTGCTCTTCCTTATGTTGCAGCTGGTCGTCCTGTCTGTCATTGATAACGGATTGGGCTGTCTCACGCTGTCCGACTCACAGATCGCAAAGCTGGATCGAGTGCAGAATGAGGCAATGAGAGTGAGAGCAGTGCTGGGCTGCACCAAGGACACTCCAATATTGTGCATGCGCTACTTGCTAGGTTTAAAAATTAAATGGCATCAGAGTACGCCATAGGATAGCTCAAGCAAAGATGTATCTCAGAATCTCCGTGTAAAGGGCAAGAAGGATCATCCACTTCACAAAACACTTCATGACAACAAGAGAGGCAGAATCAAGAGAGGAAAATCTTGGATGGCGGAAGCAGAGGATTGTCTGAGAAAAATATGTGTACCTGAGAGCCTACCACTAGGCGAAGATTGAGAACAGGTGGCCGGAGAATACAGGGACCTCACCAAGGTCAAAATAAGCACTGGCAGAAACAGAAGAAATGTTACGGCTTCCATCAACGAGAGCGATATCAACGAGATTGTTGACACAAACTCAAAAGCAGGGGATCCTGTAATTTATACAGATGGCTCAGTGAAAAGAGATAGCCAGCGAAGTGGATGGGGATTTGGTGCATTCACCAACAATAAAATCATACACGGTGCATCTGGAGCCTCCAGCACGGCTACATCAAGTATGCTCATGGAAATTAAAGCCATCACGAAAGCACTTGATTGGATGACCCAAGATCGCCACCACACAACCCATGCTGTTCTTATCATTGATTCCATGTGTACCCTAAGAAGGATCGAAAAAGGTTTCCTGAGAACAGAATGGATTCAAGCTATTGAAGCAACGCCTATACGATCGCTCAAATGGATTTTCTGCCCTGGCCATGCAGGTGTTATGTTAAATAAAATGAAAAAGCCGACAGACTGGCTGGTGGGGCCACCTTAGTTGACAGCACGGTTCAACCAGACAAGGTCGAGATCCTGAAATGTCTCTCTCGCCAGCTGATTGAGGAGGAAGATGGAGGCAGAGGCCAGTACAGCCGTGGAGAGGATGATGCTTTTGGGAATACAAAAAGAAGCAGAAAATCTGGCACCCTTGCAGGAAAGAACAGAAGAACGTTCAACCAGATATGCACTGGCACAATCAGCGGAAAGACCCTCGGCGACATTTTGGAGAGAGCAACGGAGCATCAATGGGCGTGTCCGGAATGCAGGGATGTTGCTTCCTGTAACAATGAACAATGACTATTTACCCCAGCAGACCGGAGAACACTTGGATACATTCTCGGTTTACCGGGAAGCCTACAGTGCAAACAGCTGACCAGTTGGTGGTTGGCTGGTGCTCTGGTGTGGTTTGCTCTTTCTTTCCTATAAAACATCTATCGTCTTTATCTCCCCTCCTTTTTTAAAATGTATGTTACTCTCTTGTAACACACCTATTCTTCGGCACTCATATGACCTTATTGTGTTGCAAGTGCCGTAAAACTCTTACTCAAACAAACAAAAACCCCAGCTTTTCAATAGACAGTTATGATAGTGGGGAACATTCGGGATGATTTGGAAAATATTAGGGTTAACCTAGACAATACTGGGGATAAGCCAGAAAATATTAGGGATGAGCTAGAACATACTGGGGTTGAGCCAGAAAATATTAGGGATGAGCTAGAAAATACTGGGGATGAGCCAGAAAATATATGGTTTGAGCTAGAAAATACTGGGGATGAGCCAGAAAATATTAGGGTTAACCTAGAAAATACTGGGGATGAGCTAGAAAATATTAGGGATGAGCTAGAAAATACTGGGGATGAGCTAGAAAATACTTGGGATGAACTGGTATATTGTGGGGATGGGCTAGAAAATGGTGGAGATGAGAGGGAAAGAGAGAGAATGGGGAGGGGGTGGAGAAAGAGAAACAGAGATGATTAAAAGAGACAGAGATGACGAGAGAGAGAGAGAGAGAGA